CGCCTGTTAGTGTAGGCGAATTTTACCTCAGGTGATTTTTACCCACTAGGTAAAATTTATAGGGGGGTAAAAATCGCCTGTTACGGTAGGGGAATTTTACCTCAGGCGATTTTTACCCCCCCGGTAAAATGTATAGGGGGTATAATTCGCCGGTGACACCGGTACCGAATCTAATACCGCAATACCGGTTTCAAATTTCAATACCGTCAACCCTAACTTCAAGTAAATATCATCTAATAATTATGGATGATAAGCTGTTTATTTTTAATAATTAAATCAAAGATTCTCAAAGATTCATTAAATCAAGTAGGTAAATTAAATTAATCAAAAGTGATAAAATTCAAATATTTTTTTTATTAGTTTTAACCTGATCTGGCATAACTTTAATTAACTGATAAAAGTTAAAAACGATTAAAATATGTCGTTAAAAATTGTCTTTATATCATTTATTTTATTATAAAAATGTTGCGGATGATTATATGATTGAAATACTTGAATATAATTATTTTAATTAATTAATTGGAATATAATTGATTAGTAAGCATTAATTTAGTTTGATATTTTTATAATAAAATCAAAGTAAATATACTTCTTAAATTAATTAATAATATTCCCTTGGTTTTTATGTATATTACCTATCATTACTTTTAAACACATTTTAATGCAACAAATTAAGAATGGTTACCCAATCATTTAAACTAAAACTCTTTTTTTTTCTGAGTGATGTATAGAATATTATTTAAGTACTCGAATCTAAAATGATATTCTACAACACGTATATAATATATATATATATATGTATGTGTGTATTTATAACGATGTTTGATACATTTCATTGTATATGTATAAATGTGTTAGTTATACAACAATTATGTATAGGTATTATAGAGTTTAAAAAATGTTCTCGCCATGTCATCACTGAACACGATAGACCGCCTACATGACTGAAAGTACCTAGGTATATATTGTATGTGTATATGAATTAGGCTGGGAAGTGGTACAGCGGTATATGCCGCACATAAGACATATTATAAATAGTCGTGGCGAAAAACTGCTGCAGCGCATACCGGAGGGTTTTTTTTTTAAATAAGAATATCACGCGTTTTATACACGAGATTATTATTATGCAAATCTGTCTACGAAACTGTGCAGTGATGTATACGCGGAAAAACAGTGCTGCGCAGAGTGTAAAGGTACGAGCTACGTAGGTAGGTATTTACATTGTATATTTTAATAATGTACATAATATAAACTCGCGGTGCAATAATTATTATTACTTATAAGAATAATAATAATAATAATATAGCGGTTGTGTTCACGCCGAGACGGTGTTTAATGGGCGGGCGATGAACGTGCTTTGCGGATGGCGGGTGAAGGGGGGGGTATGCGGTTTCGGCTTGTTCGGTGGAAGGTGGTGACGGAGGGGGGAACTGAGAAAATCAACGACGGGCCCGCACACATTATCGCCGTCGCCGATGTCGCTCCGACCGCGGCGCTGTACCTATTTGTGGGCAGTGTAGAAGCAGCGGGATGACGGGGGAACGCCCATCGGATCAGGCCCCGTCGAGCGGTCGGTCGGTCGGTGAGGGAGGAGGGCGAGATCGATATGCCGACGGACACGCCCCACCCCCCGCGACCGCGTTCGTGGGCCGGGCTCCGACGGGACCGCGACGGCCGCAGCCACCACCGAGCGTCTCGACCTGCGCACTGACGGCCGCCTCGTTTTAGTATCGYGACGTTAACCCGACCGACCGGCCGCACACATCGCACACGCACGTTGCACCGCGTACTTGACGACYGWCGACGGCGACGCAGTCTCGCAGGTATATACACCGTATACCAAACCTACACCCATCAGTCGACCACGGGCGCGGTGATCGCATTCGCTCTCGGCCCGTCCGTTCCGCCGCGTTTTGTTTTTCATAACAATATAATAATAATAATATTATTATTATTATTATTACGAAACGCACACCACGCGATATGGTCCGCAAGTCGACGACGACGACGGCCGCCGACGCCGCAGCCGTTCGAGTTTGACCCGTATAGTTACGAAAATACGTTCCGTTTCGTCCATCGGTTTGCGAGTGTATTTCACGACATTTTGCACCAAAAGAATTTCGTCTTATCGTAGATCCACCGTTTAACTGCCTAAATCATTGGTATACCCGTATACCGTGTCGTGGATACCTAGGTATATAATCCGTCCACCCGGCCRCATAGGTACGGTAACGATACACCGGTAATAATATGATAATGGGTACGGCCAACCAGGAACAGCATCCAGCCAGCGCGATCAAAAAGCCCACGGACTTTTCGATCGACGCTATTATGCGCAAAGATGACGTCGCCGCCACTGCCGCCGATTCGAGACACAACATCATGTTCGGTAAGTGCCAAAATATTGTTGATATTATAAATCTACATAACCTATTTATGAATATAATATAAAACACACGCGACTTAAGTTTTTTCAACATTACTCTAAGTAGGTACGTATTAATAAATTAGGTAATTGATTGATTTTACACCTATCAAATATTATTAACCAGTTATTTTCATTTTCTTGAAAGAAATTTAGTATTACTTGAACAATAGCTACAGTAATTTTTCTATTATATTTTTTTTTTTTACACAACTTACTAAATATATTATTGTAAAAATTTCTAATCCAAGCTGTCAATCTATTTAGTATATTTATAACATGCCATGGTCTTTTACATTGGATATTTAAAAACCTTTTTTTCCTTAACTATAGACTATAAGATGATGAACTAAATATCATCATATTTATTTCATTGCGCCTTATTTAAAAATAAAAATATATTTTTTGATAAATAAAAACCTTGGCCGTGTATTTTTGTGTACCTATTTATATATACCACTTCGCGTTATGAGTATTTTAATAATCGTTTTATTACATATAAACTATTTTTTGCCTCTAAAAATAGCAATGGAATAGGGAATTATAAAATGTATTATTACTTATTTTTATGGGTTTATTTTTAGTATAGTACAATAGAATTATGATATTGTAATATTTGTATTTTATACTGTAGAAAATGTTTTATAAATAATTGCATATTTTCTTCAAATATTGTTATTCCCTATTAATATTATTAACTTCTAACTATTTTTAAAACCAACTGAATTTCATTAAAATCAATAATTTGGGCTATTATAATTTAAAATGATATAATAATCTATATGTAGGTACCTACGCTATTATTGTTTAGTACCTAGCTGGAATATAATTATTTGTATGGATTAAATTTTGTTACATAGTATTATTATATCGATTATTATTGCTACCAACGCACTTATTATTATTTTTAATTATACCTTGTATACAGTATAAGCATAATAATATTATACATAGTAAAATCATATCTACGTGCAACTTCGATCAAATGTTATTATTTATATATTATTATTGAATTTCATGCAGGCACAGAGGGCGAAGGTTCGATGGGTGGGACTGATGATTTAGACATTGAAGTGGACGTCGTTGAGACTTCAGAACCAGAAGATTTGGCCGCCAACCGCTATCATCGTCGGTCTTCGGTGGATGCGGGTACCGGAAAGCAAAATGGCACTGCTAGTGGTTCGAAGAAAAAAAGATGCCGAGAAACGGTTAGCGCTTCATCCGAAGACGGTGATCGGACACCGCCCCCGCAAGATTCTGCACAGGCCACATCCAAGAACCTGGCAACAATGTTGGCAAAATGTACTAGTCCGGATTTGGCATCCACAGAATGCTACCTTGAGTCTGTCTCAAAAGAACTCTGGTCCAAATTTCACGAACTGGGCACGGAAATGATCATCACCAAAACCGGAAGGTATGCATCATACTATTCATACTGTGTAAAATAAATACATTATTACAAATTATAAGTACCTATTATTGTGTATATCTCGTGGAGCGTATGRTATAATTAGGTAATATAACGTTAGGTTTAAACCTATTCTTATTTCACGGCAATATGCTCTTCAACAGTTACCTATATTTTATCCATAAATAAGTACCACATTTTCTGAAACGTCATTATAATTTTTAGCTGCCAAGTAACAGAGTTATTATATTATATATTTATGTGTGTGTAACTCCTAAAACCAACAAAATAAACGTAAAGTAAAAATACATTTAAACGTGAAAGTAAAAAAAATAATAATTTCAACATTTGTACCTCACTCCCTAATCAAAAAAAATGTAATTGTCTCTTATAATTTTCCTTTTKTACTTTATAAATGAATTGACCATTGACGTATGTAACTTTTTAAAACTTCACTATTAAATAGATATCTCATGTTTTTTCGACTATAAATGTATAAATTATACATAAACACATACGACATCGAAATAAAAACGCGACCGATAATCTTTCATTATCGCGTCGATCAGTCCGACTATAACGATTAAAACAATGGGTTTCTCCAAATAACTAATATTTTGACTTTCTATCTTTGCAGTATAACCTACGATTATTTATTATATATTAGAATGTTGGAAATTCGGAAAAAAAGCAAATGCAAAGTCCCGAACCCTTAAAAAAGTACCGAATATTTGAAATTATCAATAAATTATATTTATTTAGCAAACAACTTGCTATGTCTTAAAATTTGTAGATTAATACATTGGCCTAAATGTTTTTTATTCGATGCTAATTCATTACAATCTCTCTCTATATATATATATCATAAAGGTATTGATAAAATCTGTACGGTGTGTTTATTTTTCGAGGACGCTATTGCTTTAATGTCGTTTAAGTTCATGCTAGTTATTACTTATAAGTTATTTCGTAGATACATATCTATTTACCTATGTACTCTAAATACTTACCTGAATAATTTTAATTTCTGAAATTCTATGTCATAAAAAATCTTCWTACTGTTTTTAGAAAGATCTTATTAAATACGCAAAATATTTTAACAACTATCCAAATAATGTTGCAGTGATATTTTTAGACTGTAGTACCTATGCATTTTTATACAATAATATGATAAATAATAGTTACTAATGATATCAACTATCGTTCCTTTGAATTAATTCACATGAGTTATTAGTACACAATAAAATAATAAAGAACAGTCACAATAATATTATTATCTCGAATGCGTAAATAATAATACAACTCAAAGTATTACAATGAAACAAATAATAAAAATATGCTATTAATTATTAGTTTATACCTATAGATATATCATTACGGCACCTATTATTGAGTTGGTATTATACATTTTGGACGAGTTCGATAAGGGACGTGGAATAAAAGAATATAAAACCGAATCGCGTGTTTAAATRTCCTGGCACACACATTCATAAATATATAAAAGTATACATAGGACAGAAGTTATTATTAATGACGTTTTATCGATGTCCCGAAACGACTTTCCAACAGTAATAACCTATTTATTATTTATTACTATTATATTGTTATATTATTATCAACTTTGGTCAATTATGGTCGTTTGGATTTCTATGATATTGATTAGCGTATACCCAATACCGCACCCCGAGTTGATATCAGATTTTGCGTGTTTACGAGCGCATGGTTGTAGAACTTGTAGATATCATAAATGTGTATCCATCATACATGCACGTCGCACGATGGCCGTTATAACTCTCACACCCCACAAGTAACATTTTCAATCAAATAAGACGTTTACTTGTAGTATTATAAAACCTTATAAAATATTATGTTATGTAAGCAACTAAAATTATTATGGTACATATTCCGGAATACGTAAACTTATTTCGTCCACCGGAATTACTACATCAGCTATATAATAATATAATATAGGTTCCTGCTCAAGGAACCTATTCGACCAACTCTCTCAATAGCAATGATATGAAATATCTTAGGACGACGACATTCTTTACATAATGAACCATATTTAGGTTGACCGCTTACAGATAACTCAAAGGGACAGTTGACGTCACGACAAAGGGGGTGGCCGCGYGGTCATACCGCATCGATCATATTATTATGTTATAATATATATTATATATTCTAATCGTGCGTTACCGCAGTAGGTTTCGCCGCTGTAGGTCTGCCTCGCGTGTACAATGTATTATATAGGTGCATATAGGAGGTACATAACATAATATACCCATATGGCAGTATTATATTATATATATATATATATATACATCAACTATACGACGTGTGTATATGACGATGATAAAATAATAATATAATGCGGCGAGCGGCTGCTGCGGCAGAAGTTAATAGTCCTCGTGAATTCCTCAAACGCCATAGCTCTGGTACGTATTGGTCCACGGCGGACTCTCGGAGGCGCGAGCGCGAGATACCCGAGACAGACCGCCGCGTGTATAAAACGCGTATTATATATTGTTATTATATTATTGTGCATACGTATATTATAACGTGTGTGTGTGTGTGTGTGTGTTGGAACCAAGAGAGTAGCCGTACACATACACACGCGCTCGCGCTCACACAGAAATATGTGTATATATATCATACATGTATGTGTGAGTGTGTGTTTTGACGTTGTTAAAAAGCATATAATACAAGCGGCTATTGTCCCTTTCATGGAGAGATGATAAAACCACGCTCGTCAAGACCTCACACCGCGCCCCATCGGTTACGTCGCGCGACCGTCGTCGTTTATATATAGTGGCTAAATACTTTGCGTCTCCCACGTGTGTGTGTGTGTGTGTGTGTGTGTGTGTGTGTGTGTGTACATACACACACAAAAAAACCCGTGCACAATTCATTGTAAATAAACGATAGCTGGAGTATTTTTACGTTTTTCTCTCCTCGTACTCTCTCTCACTATCTCTCACTCACTCTCTATTATCGCTATATCTTTCCTCCTTCGGGGCTATTGTCCTTGKGAATAAGAGAAAACGTCACACGATGTATAATGTATACCCCCGCCGTACGTTCAGTATGTCTCTAATAATATCAAAATATATATACAATACACCCATAAGACCCGAATCACGCTGTGCGTTTTTTCCTCTATCCGCACAAACCTTTCTGCCCGCGGGGATGCGATAATATATAGTGCTTAACTGCAGTTCGTCGATGTATGTACCTAATAGGGGCTATAATAAATATATCCTTTCGGCGCAACAATCCCTTCTTGTAATCCTTTGGCGTCGCCGCCGCCGCCGCCGCCGCCACCGTGCAATTCAGGGTGCAATCCGTGCGCGCGACAATATAACTTGTTACAAAACGATCGTCTTGCCGCCCGACATTATATAATACATATATATTATATTATAAATAGTTGCTATAATACGCAYGTCCGACATACCTACCCGTTTTCCACACGCATACACGTAGCCTGTACAACAGTRGTGACTCGACCGTTTTATTATTATTATTATTTGGACGCATATCAATCGAGAGTGCATTAGAGACGTATATATAATATAATATGATAATATGAACGATAAATATATTGTAGACACATTAAATTGTATTTTTGTTTCTATAAAAAAAAATTATTTGATATATACCCACATCGAACGTCCGCTTAATCCCCGAGGTCCGCGCAGTGTAGGGGCGAGTTTGTCAGTCTTGTAAACGTGATACATAGCACAATGATTGATAAATTACCCTCGGACTCTTTTCTCTGTGCCTGTGATGTTGAGAACACAGAAATAATAACAACAATATATTGTATAATAATCCCTAGAGATATGCAGCGAGATATGTTCTGCCACCCTATCTCTWCGTCCCGACTGTCCGCGAGACTTGTCGAAACTTAATTTTCGGCCGTCCGTCAGAAGACGGTGGTGGTGTATATAAAAAGGTATTACAGTATTTGCTTAACCACAATCGTATTATAGCAAAATATATGGGCATAGTAGTATAATAATATGCTCCGTTATTACWGAGGATCACAAAAGAGCATTCTGTACGGATTTCTGAATTCTGATTAATTTAATAATAATTTAGGCACTAATTGTTTAATATTTTACCGCGACAAACCAAATTTCTCAATAAAAATATTGTAACATTGTGTTTCTATACAACTGTATATAATAACATTAAAAACAAACAAATTTAAAATACCACCTACCTATTCTGTTTTGTATGACRTTTATATATAATAAGCTCATTAAATTTCACAGTAATGTGTATGTTACACTTATAACCGCGTGAATTCGTTTATTCGATATACTTACATATACCAGTAAGTTTAGTTTTCGATTATAGCGGTTAATGATGTAATGCTATGTTTATCAAATGTATTTATATAAATGTACCTATGTATTAACACCAAGATATTTTTCGAATTCGTTGTTAGACCTATCGCGTCTTGTGTACGCACCCCGATGTCACAAAATTCTGATTAATTATTTAGGGTTTTGTATTTCATAAAATATCATACAATTCATTGTGTGTACACTAAACTTACTTTGGAGACTGTTTAGGTGGTAATGATATTTTATATTAACCTACAATAATATGATATCGCTGACGTATATCTACAGTAGGAGGTAAAAATATATACGGGTGTATAAGCGCATTAGCCCTTGGTATACCGCGGTTAAAACACAATAATAATAACAATTAACAATATAATATTACCTATAATCAGCTACCTACATGTAATGAAAGTTTCCTCGTTCTACATACACGTTTCCGTTTACATCGCTACAGTCCTGCAATCTTGAAATGTAATGTTATAAATCACTTCACCACTCCTTACTATGTATAGATATAGGTGCTAATGAATTAAACATAATATACAAACATTGCTGACGTATAATTGACGCGTGTTATCTCGAATTACTTACATATTATTATTATTAACACAAAAATACTTGTGCATCTCGGGTTTCGTTCGTACATACACATTT